TAAATTAGTTAACAGCGTTGTTAAGTGAATCTGGCTTCCCCTTTGACTTGGCTCATCAGATGCTCACAAAACACGACCCCTGGACACTGCAACCGTCATAAATTCATATTGTAAGTCGAGGACTCTCTGTAGCCTTGTTATTGGGTTGACCCATTTTCTGGGTTATAATGCAATATACTGAATCATAAATTAACCAACTATGCTGGATTAATTTCATACATTAAGCTCATAAAATGTGATCATAGTCAACACATATCGTGTTAAGGTAGGCTGTAGGTTTTCATGCACCCTAGTTATGCAAATTGTATGAATTTGGCCATAGGATTATTTAAAAAAAAAAAAAGATTTATGCACTGATAAATAAGAATATATAAGAGAGGATTTTTTTTAAAAAAAGCTAAAAGCTAAGAAATAGTTAAAATAAAAAACCCGTAAGATCTATACATAATAGGATTATGTGAATTGAACAGAAGAAAATTTTTTAAAAAATTAAGAGCTAAGAAATAATTAAGATTAAAAACAATGTAAGATTTATACATATGGGAATAAGAACATAAAGAAGAAAATTTGAAATGTGGAGGTAAAAAAAAATAACCATAAGATTTATACACATAGAAATAAGAACATAGGGAAGAGGAAAATTAAAAAGCAAATCTAAGAAATAGTTAAGATAAAGGGGAAAAATGAAATATATACACACAGGAACATGAAGACGGAAAATAGGATTTTTTTTAAAAAAAAACCCTAAGAGCTAATAAATAAGGGGAAAAAAACCATACACATAGGATTATAGACATAGAAAAGAATTTTTTTTTTGAAGAAAAGCTATGATGTCATATTTTAAAAACGTATGATTTATACATACAAGAACAAGAACATTGAAAACAGGAAAATTTTTAAAGAACCAAGAAATAATTTAAAAAGTCACACCATTTATACCCACGAGAATAAGAACATAGCGAAGAGGAAAATTAAAAGGAAAAAAAAAAAAAAAACCCCTAAGAGCTAAGAAATAGTTAAGATTAAAGGTTTATACACAAAGGAGTAAGACCATAGAAACGGAGCATAAGAATAGAAAAGAAATAGATTAAATAGGAATAGAAATTGATGGAAAACGGAATGAGGTAGGAAATTATATTTTGCACTGTAGCAAGGGTTGTATGGAAAAATAAAGAACTGTTTTGGTTCTGTACCATATTAAGTAAAACCCTAACATAGGCCAAGTCTGTTACCAAAGCGACAGAAGTTCAAAACAAGCAGAAAAGGATATGGAAGCAGCTCAAACTGAACACCACAATAATTCACGTGAGTATAAAGGGAGGAGATACAGCAAGGGCTCGCAAGAAGAGTCAATTACGGTGCCCATTCTCAATCAATGTGCTCTATAGCTTTCAACTGTGATGTTGATTTCTGGTGGGGGTAGCTGAGACAGTCTTCGAAAAAGGTTACCTGGGAAAAAAAAAGAGAAAATATTTGTAGGTCAGGCTGGAACTGTGGGATCCTAGACACCAGAGGTGGGTTCCTACCAGTTCGCACCAGTTCAAATCTACCGAACCGGTTAGAAGAGGTTCCACCAGTGGACCTGGAAAGCTGGCCACACCTACAGAAGAGGTTTCAAGATTTTTTTAAACCCACCACTGACACACACACACACACACACACACACACACACACACACAC